ATCTTACCCAGCCACGTATTTCTAGTTGTCGCTAAGTTGTAATAACGCTTCAGCCTCCTGACTAGTAGTGCTGTTTCGTTAAGCTGTATCTCCCCCTCATACAGCCTCATTGTAATAATTCTCAATATTAGGATTAGGTATCTGCCTAAGCTCAAACAACGGTCAAACCGTAACAATGTAGCTCCTTCGGCGTTTGCCAATTCTCTTTTAAACTTAGGATAGTATTTTACAAACTTCTCCCTTTCCTGCTGCTTCATTGTTTTTAAACACCCTATAGCCTTCAACCGTTGCCCTTGGTCAGGATACAATTTGCCGAGTTTGACAAGGAACCTTTCATAGGTGGCTGTCCTTGTTGTAAGATTGCGTGATACCCAAGGGGTCACATTTTTTGCTGCATCATCTTTCAGCGTGTTAAATAGCAAATAGAATTACGTTAAGGGGTCTGGACCACATGAAATGGCTTTACCATGTGCCTGTTGTTGAGCGGATTGGTTTGCAAAAGCTTGTGGCTGTTAGGTATAGATTATGTGACGGCTGATTCCTGTAGCCTATGTTAGCCAACATAGGCTTGGTCCGATTTAGGGTGCACACGATCGATCGATCTAATATCGGAGCATCGGAATCTGCATAGCATCCAATTCAACAGTGCAGCTCAACATGGCACCACTTGTTGGTGAGATGCTATTGGCTGGAAATACACGAGATCGGACACAACCTCCTCAATTGATAGTGCAATGACGTCGTAGAACATGAGGCTCTATTATATATATACATGTGTAGTTAGATCCTGTAGTAGTTCTCTCCTTAAAATTATTATCTACTACCATCAACCACATAGTTGCTCCAGCACCTGTCCTAGAATCCGTGACAGATTATATCACTTGATGAAGCGAGTGGGAAAGTAAAGGAGTCTGTATATTTGTTTTGGAGAGTTGTTAATTACTCTCACTAGGACATAGAGTGCTATATAAACTATATTTTGTAATAATAAAATCTAGTGGTTGGTATTAATTGAAATTAGTTCCGGAGATTGGAAGAATTACACACTAGCCTCGAGTTTGATTAAGAGATACAAAAAATGTGTTTACCATACAAAGAAGTTTACTGATATTTAATGGATAGTTAATTGTGATTAAATTGCTGTAATTCTATATGTGTGGCGAGAAGTCCCTCTATATACATGAAAGCGGGGTTTTTCGCACACTAGTGTGAACTCCAACATACTTCCTAATCTAACCTAAATGGGAAGGTTGTTGGAGATCCTGAAGACAATGTATGCTGTCAGGCATCTATTGGCTAATTACTATTCATGCCAGTGAGTGATGATATGGGTTAATCATATCTCATGGCGTCAGTGCATATTATTCTAATATGTACTATTTGTCTACTGCAGTCATGTTGCTGCCTTAATTACAACAGTATTTACGTCAAAGCGCATTAATCCTAACCTCAAAATTAATGGGAGATTAATGATGTGTATTCTACACATCCCTATCTTTACCATAATTGGAAGCACCAATTTCAACAATGGCTAGTGCATGTGATCAGTAGACTCTTCACGTCGCTGCCCCAATTGTTGCTCAATGTGTTATGGAAGGGGCCTGGGGATCTTGCTCGGTCATTTTTGGAAAGGTCTCGTACACTAAAAGAGTAGGAACAAGACCTTCTGGTCCAGCTGCATCATTGATTGCCTTGACAGCCATTTGAAGTAGCATGTTTTTGTGTAGGTTTGTGCCGAACATATAATGAGTTGTTGTTTCATATGCCTGTCGCAAAACATGGTGGTATTGTTCGACTATTCTGATTGACTAATGAGCCTCGACTGGCACGGCTTTTGTCCTTATTGCCATGGTGGCTGCACTTTGTTGGAAATACAGTTTCCTGCTTTTCTTTCTATCAACCAATGTGGTTGCATGCATCTTGCCTGAACTACATTTCTGAGGTCAGGCAAGATGTTATGGCCAGGCATCCTTGAAGAAGGTTCAAGGAGAAAGTTCAAGTAAAAGGTTTAAGGAGAAGGTTTAAGGAGAAGGTTCTCAGGAATAGGTTCAATGAGAAGATATCCGAGAAAACTCTGATAATTAGAGTTGGAGGGGCTTACCATGACATAATCTTTCAAAGCCTCACTTACATCTAGCACGTAATTAGTTATGCTTAAGGAAGCTGGAGTTACTCTAAAGTAGTTCTTCAGCTTCTCAATCTTATATCCTCATAGTCTCTATAATCATACTACTCGTCTCGACCTCTCGATCTCTCGTTCTTCAGTCCCAATCTTTTGTGCCTCGCCCGATCAGTTTAACACCCCTAACCGCACCGGTCTATATTGTCTCGTACTTACTTGCCTAGCCATTACTAGGATACCTTCAGCAGACGGCAAATCCTATTTCAGCTCCACACGCCGTAACACAAGATCCCACACTTCTGATTCAATTGGACTCAACGTTAGAGTCTGCTTGAATCCCATTCTTCCCGAACAAATCCAGTCATTGGATTGTTCATATTTCTATTGCATGACCCAGTATTCTGAGTCAGTGGATAATTATTTTCTGGTCTGGGGTCCCACTTATTTCTGCAGTTGAGTCGGTTCCGGATAACCTCTTTCTTGTAATTCCACTGTATATATCATAATACCTGTAGTCTATTAGTCAATTAAGCAAACTGAACTTCTCTGTTCTCAGGCAATTCTTACTCCGAAGTCTTCTCTATACTCTAACACACTTTGTGTTATAATAGAAGTTGTATAGAGTAGCGTAAGCTCTTAGGCTTGTATTTAATATCACCTAGTGAAGCGAGTTGGGAGATTGAAGAGTCTGGAAACTATAGTGGAGAGTTGTTGATTAAACCCACTTAGTATCAGAGCGCTATTTAAACTAATTACTACAGCTAAGCGAAGGACATGATTCACTAGCTTATGCTAGATAATTTGGAGGCTGGTCAATGTATTAGCCGTCATGAACATCCTAGTAATATTCGAACCTTATTACATTCCATGTTAATGCAAGTCTTCATTGCCATGTTGCGCCAATTTCAACACTTTGGACAAAGTTTCTACTAACAAGATCCTTTCTGGCATTGGTAATCACATAATCTAGAGGTCCCTGATATGTATTTATCCATGCGTAGCATAGCATATCCTGTATGTGCTCGGAGGTCATGCTACGAAGCCTACGAGCAGATTGATACCTGGTGCTTTTGTCAACAACGTGCAGGGTTGGATTTGTTGTGAGGTTAAAGCTCGAGAGGGATTTCGGGCTGTTGGAGAAGAATGAAGAGTGTTATTCAAGCACAGGAGCAGGTTAACGGGGCTTCAGATGTAAAGCTGTGGAGTTGACAAGAGAAGCGATGAATATAGCCTACAGAGATATTCAGTCAATACAATGAACTGAAGATCTCTGGAGGTAGGAGAGACTATATCTTTATACAGGAATCAAACTTGGTTTGACAAAATTTGGGGGATTGATGAGGTACTTGCCAATGTCTCAACTTGACAATGTTATCCAAATGATGTTTTAGCCTTGTGTTTTAGTGAACCCCCACAACTAAAACAAGAAACAGATGTGACTACATTAAACATGGAATCTAGTTACAAGTGAATTAAGAGTTACATGTAGTAGTAAATAGACAGAGATCCTGCATTGATACTGATGTAGAACTGTTTTATTACAACAGGATTATTATCAATATACAGGATATCAATAAGAATTTCATGGTTGAAGTTTATCTTGCCACGAAGTTTGAATTTAAATTGGCCGGGAGATTTTCCAAACTTTTGACATTGTTTGCAGTAGCGAGTTAATCTTCAGATTTCTTCATAGTTAATATCATCGTGACCATATTGCTCCAGCAGTTGTTGGAGGCAATAGGCAGCTGGATGCCCAAAGCGGCGATGGAGACGGCGGAGCTCAGTATATGTAAGGAAGCATTCTTGGCCGAGTTTGTAAGTTATTGAAGATAGGCGTGTTTTCCAGAAGACAAACAGGTGTCCAATTCGACGAGTCACAGTGAATCTACGAGTTGAGGAGACGAGTACATTGTCAATATTATCCAAGTAGACCCCATGAAGGTCCATGTCGGCAATACTGAGTAGAAAGGGTGTGTTAGCATTAAGAACATGGAATTCAACTGAGCCAAATGGAGCGTTAACAACCACGTAGCCAATTGAAGTTGTGTTCCCTATGCCAAATTGGATTTTCGCAGCTCCAGCAGTTGTAGTGTCGAGTTGAGTGTTGATGATCTTCTGAAAGGCTAAGAATTTGCCGTGTCCGACAGTGTATTTCTTGGCAGCACAGGTATTGATTATGATGCCGAAAAATTCACGGTCACTGTAGCAGATTTTGGGATTTCTGGTATTGAAATTGCTAGTAGAACTGGTGTCAAACTCGAGGGTGCCAAAAGTAGCGTCGATTTCACAGTAAGCATAGGCACTTGGGCAACCTTATGGTCAGAGGTAGTTTATTTTCAATATATGGTGAACCATAGATCAAAGTGGATAATAATAGCTACTTTATACATGATTATTATCCCAGCCAATGACACGGCTTTCTATCTGTTTACTTGTTTACTCCTTTACTCGTTTACCCGTAAATCCGCACATCCGTTCCCGTATCCCACTCTTGCGCCTTATTCTCGGAAGTTGTACAATATTGATATTGCCACTTGTAAGCCCCTACTTCCGAGAATAGGCTCCGCCTAGTGTCACGCTAAGCCTACGTTGGACAGCGTAGGCTACAAGTAATTATCGGCTTACAAGCCGTCACAGTGGGGAGGGTTACTGAATGACTTGGGTAATATCTGAGGAGGTTGGCAAGAGTCAAAGGTATAAATGCGTAATTTTTACTAAAACTAAGGACGAGGGACGAGGGAATCTAGGGTAGGAGACAAGGCCAGTGGAAGACGGAAGACAAGACGTGGCCCTCTACAGCAGCACTGTCCAATCCCTATATACATCATAGTAACCAGAGCAACCTAGGCCTCTTAGGGTATATCTTCTACTCAATTGATCAACTAGTAACCCATGGCAACCATTTTATCCGGGTAACCTCTATCCTCAGTTCCTGACAACTGGTTAAGGCGTAGAGGGAGGCTTCATTGTTGAGTTCCATGAGGTATTTCTTTCCATTGATAGGCCTGAACTTGGTGAAATAAACTTCGTTGAATTCCTCGGAGTCAGGGAGGTCGAGGTCTAACATGAGTTGGCTTAAATGAATCGATTTAGGGATGGCTGATTCCGGCTGACCACATTTGGCAACAAATTGGGTGTACCGTTTGTTGTACTTATTCATTTGGTTTTGAAGGTGCTGAAAGGCTTCTTGTTTGGATTAGGTCCTGGTCAATAATGTCTAGCCTAATTGTGCTATGTTGCAGGCTACTGTTATAATTATTTATGGGGTCATCATCAGGGTTGTGAGTAGTTTTGGTTTTGGTGTGGGTTGTTAGATTGATGCCTGAGCGTGTCGCATAGTAGTCAGACATGCGACTCGACTAGCATATGCACGGTAAACCTCAACCCCAAAATGATGATAGGAATCAGTTTTTACATGCTACGTCCTGTATGGCTAGCGTGGTTGGAATATGGGGAATTTACTTGTAGATAGATAAAGATGTTGTAGCCCTCTGATAGTTGGGACAATGTTGTGATCAGACCCACTTATAGATCACACAACTTGGAATGTGTTGTGCTTTTGCTCGTCAATGACCGGCTCTGCGCCGACAGGTGCATATGCATATTGTGCGTTGACCATGGATACAACCGCTGCTGCTCCTGAGTCTCGGACTTGGGAGTGCCGGGTTGAGTCATTGCAAGGCAACATTTGGGGTAGCAATGTGAAGGGTCTACTGACCACGTGCGCTAGCCATAAGCGGTTAGATATTGCCGGAAAATTACGGAATAGCGCCCTGAGGTATATGCAGACCTTGCACGCTACCAGAACCATACAACTGCTCCCACTCCTGAGTAGTGGACTCATGAGCGCCGGGCTGATTCATTGCAGGGCAATGATTGGGGCAGCGTCGTGATGAGTCTATTGATCACACACGCTAGCCATAAGCGGTTAGGTATTGCCGGGCAATTACGGGATAGCGCTTAGAGGTACATGCAGACCTAGCGCACTTTCGGAACTATACAACTGCTTCCGCTCCTGAGTAATGGACTAAGGACTGCGGAGCTGAGACATTGTATGGGAACAATTGGGGCGACGCTGTGGTGTGTATACAAGCCACAGGCGCGAACCATGGACTAGATTGCTGTTGTTCCTGAACAGCTAGGTTCAGGATTACTCAGCTGGGATATTACACTTAAGTGATTGAGGCATTGCAGCGATGCGTACTCGGACCGCGCGCGCCAGCCACCCGAACAGCGGATGCCTCTCATGAGAGATGGACTCATGAGCTGCAGAGTTTTACCTAGGCATGCTGTTGGCAGTAAGTCAGGAGAGAGAGCGTAGACAATGACAAGGGTCATATTAGAGTATATAAGTAGTCTATGTTCTGTCTCATGAATAGCATCGGAAAAGTATTGGACACCTGCCAGCAATCAAGTTACCAAGTATCAAACCATCTGAACAAACATTGTGACACATTCCAAGTAACTATGTTCCCAATTAACTCATAACCTTAACAGAATGGCTAGTATTGGGCAAGTGAACCAACAAGACAAGCGACCCTGCGTCAATGATACGTCATTGGCACACAGCAATGACAACACCAGTATCTCAACCATACATGATTATATGATAATATGACGCAGGTATATCTAATGACATAGTTGTTAAATGGCTGAATGGTTGGCAGTTATTGCTACTGATGGTATATTGTGTATATTGTCTTTGTGTATAAATACTCACTGCTAGACCTCTGTATATGATCAACCTTTTCCTCTCTTATATTCAATAGTCATCAATATAGCAGATCAACAATATATATCTGTCTTCTTCACGTTAGACTTAAAGTGCTATCCTACATCCATCCAAGTTGACTGTTACACCCTGTAAGGATTCTCCTTCCCATCCTATCTTTAGTATATAATTTTACCCTTCTCCTGATGTTGCTATGACAACAGAACAGTTCTTGGCATTGGTTATTGTGTTAGCACTAGTTTAGGGCCTATGTTATGATGAGCTAGTGGGAGGAAAGCAAGTATATGTATGATGGCTTGGCCTGTAGCTATAGAGTTCTTCACGCTTAGCCTTCTGTCATAACCACCACCTTCGGATCACCTCTGGTCACCTATTGTCACCTCTAGTTACCTTTAGCACCTTTAGCCACCACTAGTATTTGCTCGTATCTTTAGACTCTTTAGACACTTATATTACCCATTTTTAAACCTTTAGTTCTCCAAATTATCTCCAGTAGATCTTTAGTCATCCCTCACAATCCATCCGACCTCTTCTCGCCCTTCTATTCCACTTCAGGTCAAACGCCAACGCTCCAATTTGACACACCCATTGTGACAATTCTTAGACTTCTCATAACCTCGTTATGACAATAGACAAGTCTTCTACAATATTATATTGGAATCAAATCTAGCCACTCATTAAGCATTCTCATGAATTATTTCCAATGTCTGTGATAACAGACATACATATACAATATTGACAACAAGTTTTAATGTTGATAACTTCTTCATGTTCAGCTTTTGAGTGTTTGTTGGACCACCAGCTTTCTTTTTTGCAGACAATGCATGATTTGGAGGAGCTTAGTGATCAATGTCTGGATAGATATTTGGATTTAGAGAGGTAGCAATTGTTATTGTGGTATCGGGTGTTGCTGTGGCCCCGTGAGTTTTCACGAGGCGTGATCCCTTGAGGATCATTTCTGTGGAATTGACAGTCTGTGTAGAAGACGCTTGTTGAGGATTTAGGATAAATTTTGTCATACAATGTGATAGATGATTGTAGACAATTTTCAAGAGTACAAAAGGAGTTTGCATTCCGAGGGTCCAAGAGTTTGACAGTTCAAGAGTTCAACATATGATTCAATAATGTCTAAAAATTTCCTAAGAAGGCAAGACCATAATCTGCCGAGCCAAAGTCATCCCAATTACCCATTATGTATTCCTCTCTGTTGTTCTCGAACTTTCCAGTATACCCTCACACAGAATAGAATAGAATAGTCTAGACAAGTACAGAACAGAACAGAACAGGTTAGATTAGAATGGAATGAAATATAGTAAGATAGGTTAGAGTCGAACAGATTAGGGTAGAATATAGTAGAATGGCACGCATATCTTCGTGCATGGTTCCTATTGATTTAGAATAAGCCCTTGGTCTGTGACAACAATTGAGCAATCCGGAAAAAGTTAGGGGTGGAGTGAGGCATGCATGTTTGCAAGCAGATACATTTTTGTATGCAGTAATCATTTTGAATTGTATAAATTTATCTGTTTGAAACTCGGGGTCTAGACTATATCGTAGGGTTTGTAAAGATTGAGCCAACATTTGCATATAGGTGATGGTGACATGCTGGGGATTTTGTTGAATTAAATTTCGTAAAGTGAGCGAGTACCATTTGTTCAAGATGCGCTGATGGTGTTTGTTACCTTCAAAGTTTGTCTTCATCATTTGATATGGGCCCTCAAAGGTAGGGGGTAAATGGCTAAGATTCGAATAGTAGAAGTCGGTTGCTATTCCTTTGAGCATTGTTGAGGACGCATTAGTATAATACTCCTGCGTTATTCCATTTCGGCTACAGAGCTCATAGAAGATTGAAACTTTGTAATCTAAACTATCATCCATACCTACCTACTTTATTTCGTCGGTGTAGGATCTTCACAGGTTTTGAAGTGGGCGGCTAATGTCATGGGTATCACTGTATTGATGAAAAGAAATGGCTTTGTTGTTAGTGGGAATTGTGTCTGGTCTTGGAGGTTGGGGCATGTTTGTGAATGAATTCTAGACAGTGTTTGGTTGAGGGTAGTTGCTACTGGGAGGAGCGAAAGCTGAAGTTGTGGTGTTGCTGATGCTAGTTGATGGCGGAGGTAGGATATTTGTGATCTTCTTTTGACGGTTATAGTATGCAATTTTGTAGAGATCGGGATTGGGATTAATTTGGCATGATATGTTTGGCAATGTGAATGAAGATGCTGAACCTTCTTGTAAGGCGTTCAGTATTTGTTCTTCTGTCCATTGTTCAAAATCAAACTTCAGGGTGTTTGCCAAGTTGTTAAACACTTTGTCCGATTTTGATTTCGTCATGTAGATACCACCTTGAAAAAGGAACTTTCTTAACTTTTGGGCAAGACGGACTCCGCAATGTTCGAAGTGAGAGGATTGCCAGCCGGCGAAGTCGTAATGGAATAAGCTGTAGAGATCATCATCAAACCCGTCTTTGTTGGTGTAAAACTGAAATTTGGTACTGGCGTAGTATCTAAGGTCTTCGGAGGAAGCCAGACTCAAATTGATTTTCAGACATGATGCGTCTTCAGTGTTGATATGGGCGTATTCAGTGGATTTGCTGTCGGACATCTTGAGTATTTTTGGATGCTTAGAGCAGGTTGATATCGCTTTGTGAACTTTTGTAGATTAATTGATCTTAGATAAAGTACAGAGTGCGATACTGTTGGAATTTGCCACATTTCTAACAATAATCAGCATTCCTTGCAAATATGAACAACTTTCCTGCATGCTGCATTTTTTTTTTTTGCATCAGATTTTAATTGCATATGCAGCTATCTAGCTGTTACACAATATCAAAGAAAAGTACAGAATGTATGATTCAATGTAAAGGAAGATCACTCATGCCTCAGATTTCATTTGCAAGTACCACTGCGAAGTTATGGCCGCTTTTTCTTCACCCCAAGTCAACCCTCATCCGTAAATACCAACCCAGGGGAGCGTCTCAAGAACCCTGAGTTATCTAGATTTACCTCCATCATCTTTCAACTTTTCTCCTCGCAATATGTGATCTGAGGTGTCTCTTTCTCAAGTGGAGTAGGTGCCCAGGCTACTCAAACCATACCAGAGAACACCACCAGGAGGTGGACCACAATACCTTCCATCGTTGGCTTATGTTTACAGTGTCAACTGCACTCTCAGAAGCGAAGTCTTGGCGCGCACAATGCTCAATTCGTAAAGCTCTTACCAAAATTCGGAATTTCACGCCCGTCGAAAACGTATCCCTCTTCTGCATTATCTTATAAACTTGTCCTGATCCTTCTCACGTCCATCCCAAAGAGCTATCTCCCTGATTTGTGCGCCACGCTTTGCTTCCTCCGTCGGGTATAAGTATCGGCGTGGGCGTGTATTTGGTGACCGGCTGAGGCCAGAGAAAGTCGACGAGAGGTGTGGTCATTGAAACGAGGATGTACTAGGTCGTACTTGTAGACTTGATGAAGCTTAATTGATAATGGGACTCTTTGGGATTGAAAGATTGACATGGAGTAATTTGAATTTTTGCCTCGTGGGCCACCTTCTTTGATATTGCGAAATTTGACTGGACTTGGCTCTGGGAGAATATTTCACTCCCAGGTTCGTAGAGGACACCGCGTACAGGTGTTCAGTCCTGCCCTCCGCATGCTGCATAATACATCCTGTATTCTACATTTTAGTTTCTTTTCGCTGTTGAGATATTCTCTCACGCATTTGCATGTGCGGGGTAGTATGATACTATATGCAAATGCAGTGAGAGACATTGTCATGTTTACTTTGCGACAAATAGGATGGCTTTAATGGTGCGGGGTCAGTACTGTTTTATTCCCCGCAAAATGGTTTCGTTGTCAGCTATGCTGAAAACCTTTTACTGTAATGATTGTTGTTTGCATACCCACTTTAACTCTAGGATATGCACACATAAATTCGCGTTTTACATGTAACTTAGAACTCCAATAGAAACAACATTCTTTGGGCTATACTTTCTGCTCCTCTTACTCTGAAATCGCAACAGATACCTTGAACTTCAACTCTTGGAATGTATACCAACTGAGGCAAGAATTTTTCTTCCTAATGCGTCACCATGAAAAATGTACAATACCTAATTCACTATTGATTAGCCTGATTAATTCCGGTCTCCTAATTTGTGATATCACTAGATTGTGTTGGAATCACCGGGGTTCCGAATACAGCTCTGTCGATGATTGTATTGCAATTGGGTTGGATTTCTTTCTCTTTGCTAAAAAAGTAGTTGTATTAAGTATTTATAGTTACGTAAACAATGCATCATATGATCAAAGACTTCAAACTCCAACATGTACCGACATCTGTCTATCCTCTAGATCAATTCTTGCCCACTTAGCAAGTTTCCATATCTTTGTTTGGTACCGGGAAGCCTTGGATACTGCTGCCCTCCAACCAAATGTTTTTACTTTTCTTATCTGGGCCATTTTCCTGCTTGTGGCTTTTTGATAATCTATCCAGCTTTTCTCAGTTCCTCGACATTTCCACTCTCTTCTAGCCTTTCGTGTGTCGTTTACCGCCTCTGAGTATTGGGTAGTCCAGCTGGGTTTGGCAAATTTCGAGGGTTTGGCAGTGGGTCTAACTTCTTTGGCTATCTTCTGGATAGCCTCGGTAATGGAAGCTGTTTATTTGACTTATTTAATTTATATCTAGTTACCCATCTTAGACGGCCGACAAAGAAGAATTCTTCACCTTCCAGTGGTGCCGGTGTAATCGTTCAGTATGCTCTACATATCTAGGATAGCCAAGAAAAATCGCACCCGAATCGAAGTCGAAAGCAACAACAAGCATGTCTAGAATCAACGACTTCTCGTCGATTTCGGGCCAATCTCTCTCATGCGACTCCTTGAACTTACTCATACCACAAACCATCTCGCCTTAAATACCGATAATGGCGATACTCCAATAGCAATCGGGCATTTGCCTCATCAAAAAACGGCCATCTCCCAATACAAAATAACGATGCTATGTTTACCCGTGAGGAGGAAATTAAGTCATAATCCACAAAGCTCATCTTTTGGCCTGCGGGGTACCATAGCTCTAATGGGGCTTCACATCTTGAGGGAAAATATGCAGCTGGAACGTGGGACGAATAAGTGAAGAGGTCACAGGTGGGCAAGCTGTGATCCACATTTTTCGAGTGTTTTCAACTTAAGGGTGTCTGTGAGCGCCGAGGCAACGATTTCGGATAGTGCAACCGACACTCTAAAATTAGGCAACGATGGAAGGTGTTTTGGTACGCCTCCTGGTCGTCATCTGTTGGACTCAACGAGTCAATTGAAAAATGTATGAAGTAAAAGTAAAAAGTGTCAATTAATTCCTGGCTGCCATTTCTCTTTCTGATACTATCTAGATTATGTACGTCTAGAAAATGGCAGATGCTCTATGTGTCCCTAACTTGTCCCCATAAACCGAGTTTCTCATGGTTTGGAACGAAACATCTCTATTGAGAAGATATAGAGTTCCCATTGCTACAAACCAAGCAAAACACCTTTTTCCGAAACAAGTAACTCCAAGCTTTGTAAACCTAATTCCTTAAACTTTATATCTGACATTTATCGCCTCCAAACTATCCACAGTTTGATATCATCTCCCTGAATTAAGGTCCGGGTAGCCTGGACGCCTAACTCACCCGAGAAATGGAAAACTGTGAGGCCATATCTCGCGCGGCGGCTATATCCAAGATGGCAAAGGCATGTTAGGGTAGCCAAAGGTTTTTCCTGTTTTTCCTTTCGAAGATATCAACGGTTGAGGGAAGGGTAAAAGTCCCTAGCACCAAGGTCTCGAGTAGTATCAGCGAATGCACCCACTACATGAGTAGTCCGAATGTCAAACTAAGTTATCGTCGTATATAGTCCTCGGGGAATGACTCGCCTTCTCTGTGGCATGCCCTTTGAGTGCTAGGCTTGTACCTGTCACGAATAAATATTCATACACTCATTCACTCAGTTTAGACGCATGACCAGTGCTAAGCTTACATATTGGATGACTCTTTTGACTTACGGGACACTACCATGGATTTTACTGGCAAACACGATAAAGGAGTATGTCTATGTTCACAAAACAGTTGTTAATAGTCTGTGAGTATATCCTCTGGGGGAATTACACAATCTTTGAATATCCTAATCTGCCTTAATAATCTCGAACAAACGCACCGCGTAGAATTTAGTTGAAAAGAATAGAATAGAATTAAATTTAAGTCCCTACTGAGTCTATGACTATGAAGTAGAATATGGTTGAGATTTGCCTGATTCAAACTAGCGACCTCCTGTCTCAAGTAGAATGAATGTTTGAAACAGTTATTTGCTTTCGAAGGACTCAATGTTAATGGTGTGACCGTCTCTATTTGATCAAAAATCTTATGGAAAGTCTAAAAAATTATGCTGTACTGACTTAATGCCCATCGCCCCGAGGATCCAAAATTGATACACCTCTCGATTAGTACGAGGCTCTGATAAATTGTAATGCTTATGTAATGTTTTTCATATAGGAGTCGGGGCGCAAGATAAAGAAAACTGTACCTCCATAGACGATACCCTGTATTTTTAGAAAATCAAGTTACATCTAGTCTTAAGCTCTACTATACATATTGGTAGTTTGGAGCCACAAGACACCAGTAACCTACGCCATCATAAAGTTAAGCTTATCTCAATTTTCACACATACTAATCCATCAGGAACCTCAGCCTGGCAAGCTTTCTCAAAGTGAGGTTGAGAACGAGACTTTCGCTTTGACAGCAACAATTAGGTTGCTGTGGGTTGAATGGTGCAGTGGTACACCATCAGGGTCATTCTCCCAAGTAGATACTGGGTAGCTTGAACACCTACCCCATTCGAGACAGGAGAAAGCTGGTTCGAATCCAGTAAATCCCATGGACCACTCTCTCTTGCGGTCATATTGTACTTGTGGGTAGATGAAGGCACAATCGGATAACCAAATGTTTTTCACGCTTTTCCCTGTGGTAGGTATGCACGGAAGACGTTATACGCCGTAAGGGCTAACCTTGAGAGGTATCTGCAAATGAAATCTGAGTGTGAGTGTTCTAAACGTCAAATTGAGTCATCTTACTTAAAGTACTTATCTTCCGATAAAACCTGCATGGGCCTCAAGCCGCCAAATCAGGAAAATTCATAATTATTATTATTATTAATTAAGTTGCTATGGTATTACCCAATTTTACACTTAGTCATGAATAGAAACCAGACATTTATTCGTGGTACACCTAGTCACGTACATTAACTGTTTTCGTAAGGCGGTATCGCAACAAGTTTATGGACTTGGTTCCCCTGTACCCCAATTATCTACTACGATCTAATCGAATATTCTTCGAAAGTAATTATGAAAAGGTCAAAGACACAAGGATTTATTTAACTGACTTGGTAATTGGTCTCAAATTGCCATAAAGAATATAGATTAGAACAGCCATCTATCGCGGGTTCGTCTCCATTCCAATGAAGTCCTCAATCGGATTCAGACGGAAAGCGAGAAAGATTCTGGTAAACGAAGATGTAGATGTTAACGACCTTGATCGAGAGACGGAAAACAATAATTCTCGTAAGTCTCACCCTCTAAATTACATTTACCAGGCTGATAGGTTTAGCTGACTAGTTATATAGTTCATACCGATACCAGACCAACCCATAACTTGAATCAAGATTTAGTCATTGATTTCACTGAAGATGATCGTCTTGAAATCGGGGTTGAAGATAATTCTGAAAAGTTAGAAAAAAAGAAAAATGTGTCCAACTTAACATCGAAAAAGCTGTCTCGCACACTGACAAAGAAAAATATTAGCTCCAGGCTTTCATTTCAGGTCGGCGATTTATTAACCGGGGATGAAGCAGAAGCTTTGGAAGATAAAATCAATACTTTGCCCATCAAAACAGCTTTAAAACCGCGAGATATTGGAAGGAATCAAGTCCATGGAATCCCTACAAACCAATCGTTACCCAGACAGCCAGGCAATGATGATGAAGGAAGACAGTGTTACAGTAAAGAATACCTAAACGAACTTAAAAACTTGACACCCGTCGCTCCGAAGGATTTATGTAGCAATCATACTCTAACGGAGCACAAAGACGAAATTTTTACGGCTGGAACTGATGAGCAAATGGCTGTAATGGCGCACAATATTCCAGCCATCATACCAAGTCAAGCCGAAATTCAAGAGAAGAAAGATCGTCGAGCACGCCTGGCCATCGAGAAAGATTTTATCTCTCTAGAACCACAAACTGGTGAGATGGATCAAGTTATATTTAAGAAAAGAGAAAAAAAAGCAGAATCTCGACTTGTTCGAGAAGATGAAGATTTTGGTGAAGGGTTTGACGAATTTGTGGAGGATGGGCGAATTGCACTTGGTAAAGATCAAGAACGTCAAGCGCGCCGCCGTCAGCTCAAGGAGATGGCAGAGCTAATCGAGCAGGCTGAGTGCAGCTCAGATGAAACGTCGGATGACTCCGAGGTTGAAAGATGTACGGCCTATGAGAGAGCTCAAACTCGGGCCGGTATGGACGGGCTTCACAAGCCTGATTTTGATGAGGATAGAAGTACAACACAAATTCCTCGAATAACGCCACTGCCTATTTTTTCTGAGTGCTTTGAACGTTTAAAAAATAAGATTCAGTCCACTGAGACAGGCCTATCTGAGCTTCGTAAGAAACTACAAGATTCTGAACAAGAACAGCGTGAAATTACCGCGAGGGAAGTAGAGGTACAAGGTCTCTTAAAGCAGGCAGGAGAGAGATTTACGGCTTTGACCACCAGTGCAGACCCTATTACACTTCAATATCCAGATCCCCACGAAACGACGAGTTTATCCTAAAATATTACACCAAAACTTATATTTTTAACTGAAAAAACGGGTCGGAACGAGTATAAATGCATACAGTGAAGTAATTTCTAGCCATAAAGTGTGATACTGCATGCCTAGTATTATTACACCAAATCAGGATTCTAATACATCCGATTCCAAACTAATTAGATAATCTCTCATAGCTTTGTCTCTAAGAAATTTGTATTTTAGCTTTTTCTGAATATGTGAAATACGAATGTCGTTCATTGTGGATTGCTTATTATTGACATTTGTTGCGTCGCTAAAATAACCCATTAAATTGTATAGGTAATGAACAAATAGCTACGTGCACCGCATTTAACGGTCTCAATAACCTGGTCATGGAATTTGGAATGAAAGCCTCTAATTTTAACAGATGCTGCAAGACTAACGATTTGCATACACTTAATGAATTAAAAAAAAAAGAGACTAACGATTAAATCAGAAAGACATTCCAATAGCCCAGCTAATCGCCACACATGATAACATTGAATAGACGTCTTTGCAGCTTGAGAGGTATTTTTTTATACGTTTTATTCCCTTCGGATGAATCCCATCATATCAAGCAGGATTGCTTCCCCTCGACTAGCGGGATAGGCGAAAAGAACTTAATTCAGCCTTCAGGAAATGCAGTCTAAATATCATATCCAAGCCAGGACACTAAAGGCCTCATCTTCTTAAATTACTGATAGATTGTCTTTCAGTTTTGCTTAAATAGATGTCTCTCATGATAAATATCACAGCCACTTAAAATACATCCAAAAGACAAGGAACTCATTTCAAAAATAAATATGTTTCTATCTACTGCTGCTTCATCATCAAAACAATCAAAGCTCTGATTTGTAGAAAATTAGGGACGAATTTATGATGACTGCATCTCCCGCGAACATAGCTGTCAAATAATCACCCGAAGTCGAGCCAGGTCAAATATGGCAATCCGGATGTTGGCAAGCAAGACAATGATTCAAGACCTTCAACTAGTTCAGTTCTTCATTCCTACCAGGATAAATCGCAGAGAAGCATCATTAAGTCTTTAAGTTCGAACTACCACATCCTCTTTTCAATGACAAAGGTTTTCGATAACTCGACCCCCAGATTTGACTGACCCAAAATATCCTCCAACGAGAATTTAATATCTATCAGAAGACATCAATTACGGCACACAGACTTGCTAAGGTAAGCTCCTAGGATTAACTTGAGAGATATCCTGACGGATTGTCATGACATTGCCAAATATGGATATAGCAATTTAATATATTTGTATACAAATATGTTAATTTTCAGGCCCTGGAATAGATAAATTCTTCACCTTCCAGTAGTGCTAATGAAAATACTGAGCATAATCTGCATTTCTCCGATAACCAAAAAGCATCGAATCCAGATCGAAATCGAAAGAAAACACAAACACACCTTAAACCGGTAATTCAAATGATGTTCTACCACATTATCTAGTTATGGCGCTATTTATCGTGTTGCTTGCACTCCCGTAAAAGAAGTCGTGTAACACACAATTCTCAGCTTGACAAACTTCTTGCCAGATTCAAATAGTCACTCATTCCAAGGCCATATCGATCATTTGAATCACCTTGCCTATCTGTTTTACTATCTCTCACGAAAATCCTGAAAATTGACCACCAGACTCGTGGGCCAGCTTCCTTTGTATCGCGAAATGTGACTGAACTTGGCTCTGGGAGATCAATTCACACCTAGGCCCATATAAAATACCGCGGACTGGTGTTCAGTCTTTGCCCTACGACCTTCACATGATCTGGGTCTACAAGAAAGATGTGTTTGCGATAACTGATTAGATTTCATTAACCTGATTTGGTGCTCTGGTGTTACGGGCTAGGCCCGGTTGGTTATGGCTGGGCTGTTTAAGGCTATAGGGCCCATCGTTATCTTTTAGGTGCAAGCGAGTTTGTAAGTCTACTCACTATGCAGGAGTATTTTCAGATCACTTGTAAAGTGCCAGGGGATCTTGTCCTTATAATTAATTAATTTATTGTTCTGGGTATTCATATAATCGATAGTGTTCGGAGTACCGGCATATCTGCTTAGGTAAACAGCATGGGTTTGATTACTAATACTCAAATTTGTATCAGTAGTTAGTTAGTGTTAGTGTGTGAGAGTTTGAATTTGATTTCATTTAGCCCGATTTGGCGCCCTGTGGGCCCATGCAGGTGTCTACGAACTCTAATATTTACATAGGAGGACACCTTGCAGTAAAAACCCCTTTACTGTCTGACTTGACTCTACGCGATTATAGTCTTACCTCTAGGAAGTGCACTCACACTGTTGTTGCCAGTGTGGATTCCGTCCTTGTCCTGTATATCCATTTTCCTCTATTCGCCTGATTAACGCCTCGATTTCCCCGGTCATCAGAAACTGCTCTAGCCATCCTTCCTTATGAATCCACTGTGCAATTGTAGTCACATCTTTGACGTTATTTACCATAGCTTCGAAAGATCGAGTTATCGATTTTCGTAGCAACTCACCTCTTCTCTTTGCCCATCTTGGACAAGACATCACCATGTGCTTTAGGTTTTGGAACGGATATCCACACTGGCAGCATGGTTTTCCTACTCCTGGCACGTTCCTTCTGTATAAGTAAGCATTGAGCCCAATGTGCTCGCTCCTTACTTGTGTGGCAATGCTACTCTGGGCCCTGCTAAGGTTTTGGTGGATTTGGATGGGTGATTCTTTATAGTTCATCATAAGTCTACCTGTTTTCTTGTCGTTATATAAGTTTGCTGCATTCGACTTATCCGGATTGGCTTGCGCTCGAAGACCCTAGTGTCGCTCCTTCTTCTGGCTCGTCCACGATTCTGACCATTTCTTGAACGCGGCGTTCTTTCCGGCTACTTTCTGTCTTATTTTAGACTCGATTTTGCTGCAGATTAAGGTCCATTCCGCTGTATCATGTCTCCTATTCTGATCGCGTTTATTTAACTTTTCTTCATCAAAATATTTGATTTTTCTGCGTGCGGTTGAAATTGTCTGTTGAACAGGTAGGTTATTGGATAGCCCGGTATATTGAAGCCGCCTTTGTTTAAGGTAGATCTCTATCGGGAGAGTTGACGTTTCATACTCTAGCATTCTACTGCTGGTCGACTGGTATGCCCCCGTAATGATCTTTAGGAATTTCCTTTGGACACTTCTGAGTGGCTTGAGTATCTTTTCAGAGATGTTGCCTGCCGGTCCAGTTCTAGCCCAGATAGGGGATCCATAGGTAAGCGCTGGTCTTACTACCGAGTAATATAATAGTCGTGATTTGTTGACATTTACACCCCATGTTGACTGAGTTAGTCGACTCAGTGCCTGCATCTGTGACTCCGCTTTTGCTTGTAATCCTTTAACGTGGGATGCCCAGTTTAACTTGGGGTCCAACTGGATTCCAAGAAATCGAAGAGACAATTTGGGGGTAATCACATGACTCTATATTTAGATGGCAGCGTTCAGATTATGACGTTTCCAGGTCCTCAAGAAATGCATTGGCTGATATTTCTCTGATGCAAATTTAACCCCATGCTTCGTAGCCAATGAAGCACATGAAGCACATTTTTCGTGGAGTTCCTCCAGTTTGCGGCAGTTTTCTTCAGTTGTGTTTGACCATGTTGTGAGATTAGTGTCGCCCACATTTCCGATCGCTGAAGACGATTCTATCTGAAATAGAGGGAGTAAGGTGCAAACGAAGAATAAGAACAGAATTGGGGAAAGCGGAGAGCCCTGAGGTATCCCTGTTTTTGTGTTGATGCTTCTTCCTATAAACGATCCAAGGACTATTGAGGTAGTCCTCTCCTCAAGAAATGACTTAGTAAAGTTAGTGATCCATAGAGGAATCCCTTTTAGCCTCATGTTGTGAGCGAGTCTTTCGCGGGGTACATTATCAAAAGCTCCAGAGATGTCTAGACTGAGGATGAATGCCACCTTTTTCTTATCATTTCCCCAGATATCGTAGATCTGTTCGGTCAAAAGCTCAGCTGCCAAGATCTTAGATCTGTTGGGACGCGCCCCCATCTGTTCTTCTGGAAGAAGATTGTGTATTTTGGCAGCACTTGAGATGCGTTTGGCGACTATTCTCTCAAGGACTTTTCCAATGGTGTTTAAGAGAGCTATTGGTTGGTAAGCCTTTGGAGTTTTGTATGCTGGTTTCTGTGGCTTTCTAATTACAATTGTTAAAGACTCCTTGAAGCCTAATGGGTGATATCCCTTGAAGAGGCAGACGTTGAATAGGTCCGTGAGAACTCTTGATAGAGTTTTTCTGCAATTTTTGAACAGCCGGTTTGGGATTCTGCCTGGGCCAGGGGCTTTCTCGCTCACTAGCTTTGCCAAGGCTTCCTCTACTTCGACTTCCGTTACCGTAAGAGATATGGTGTTTAGTTCTTCTGGATATATTGTGCCATCAATATCTCGAACGTCTGCGTGAACTGGCTCTGGAAAGAAATGTTGCGCAATTACTCTTGCTTTATCTACGTCATTTTTGTGTATATTTTTTTCTCCATCTTTGATGTTGGGTATCTGAGGGAGTCTACTTCGTTCCTACGGAGTTTTCTTGGCTCACCTAGTTATTCTCCCAGTTTTGTAGGGTCATATGTGGCTTCTGAGACAACTGCTTTCCAACCAATAGATTTTGCTCCCTTGATTTGGCTTTTTTTTTGAATTTTGGCTTTTTGGTATTGCACCTAGCTTTCTTCAATCGAAGCCTTTGTCCAATGTCTTCTTGCCTTACGTGCTTCTTTCACGGCTTCAGAGCATTCTTTTGTCTAGTATGGTTTAGCAAATTTCGAAGGTCTTGATTTCGGTATGCTTTCATTCATTGTCTCCTGGATTACTTGGGTGATTCCTTTACCTACTTGTCAATGGCCTCTTCGCTGTCGAGTGGGTTGTCGCTGACTCTTAAAGCTTGCAGCTTAGATCTGAGTCTAAATTAACCTCGTCTCAATCCGCTCTTTTCCATTGTAGATGCGGTTGTCTTTCTGCCTTTTCGGCTA